CAAGTAGCAGATCGCTGGATGCAAGGCAGACATGAACATATAAAATGCAACTATTCAACTTTGATATGTCTCCATTTTCTATCATTTACGATGTACACGCAAATGGTGAGTAATTTTTAAATATTGTTTTGAGGCAGTAAATTGCTATCATTTAAATATAGTCTCAGCAATATTGATAATTCTAATGGATCTTTTGTGTTTCGCATTCAATACTATATGGAATAAAGAGTATTATCATGAATTTGCTTGCCGATGGCTGTCCTTAAGAAAACTTTGTCTTTCAAGTCAATTTACCACCTATCTTTATAATAATATTTAACCATTGAGCAACAAATATTTTTAAGGCAATTAAGTTTTTTCGTGGAAAAAAAAATGTACTTTTTTTCACATCACTGCACAAGATATCCTATCAATTACAAGAGCCACTGCAATGCCTAAAAGAAGAGATGAAATGCTAAGATTTTATCACACATCAACAAGTTATGGTATATCTTAAGTGTATAACTTAATAAGTATAACGAAAACTTGGGCAAAACCAGGATTTATTATTTGACCTGACTTCTCTTTCATTGCTACGTTTGGTCGTGATAATGGTGGTATCCAAAGTTTTCGTAAGGTACGGGTAACCTTGTTGATACCTACATACTCAAAGGGATTCCACATCAGAAACTCGTCGATCCATGACAGCTGAATATACATGATGGTAAGTAGTTCACCCTTTGTTAAGTCCAGACTTTCAATAGTCATTATTTTAGGAGTTATGTTGACCTGTGTTTTAAAGGAATTTAAATAATAAAGCGATTCATGAAAATATATATATATATATATATATATATATATATATATATATATATATATATATATTATATATATATATATATATATATATATATATATATATATATATATATATATATATATATAAATCTTTTATCATAATTTAACTTTATTCTACAAGAAAATTATTATGTGTGATATGGGATTTGCCTTATTGTTAATTATCTATGTTCAATTTTCAAAAGGTATTGTATTTGTTCGGCTTTGATTTTTGAGCAGACAGTCGCTTCCAAATATAAAAGAGTAAATGAAAATTATTTAATTACAAAAAATAAACTAACTGCAACTAAATAAATAAATAAATACATACAAAAAGAGCCCGGCATGTGGTTTTAAAGCTCGTCTGTTTAGGGCAACAACCATTATAATCTGTTTTGAAAAATATTCTACGAATGAAAGGAAGACATAAAAAATATTGCTTTCAGATTGTGTCCCTAACAACTGCACAACTGTCATGGTTAGCAAGTTATCCTATAGTTGTCGATAACTTTTAAAATATTTGAATGATAAGCTACATTGCACATGACGACAACAACTTCATGTGTATGCCTCTGTAATAAAAAAGTATGACTTTTTTTTCGAAACAGACGAACTTATTAAACATGAGATAACAACAATATAGAACAATGGTACCAAGTTCATGGATGTACAGGCGGTTTGAGTATAACTGAATACTAGTGGCAAAAGCCAATCACAATCGATTAAAGCTGGTTAAGGGTAATACAAAAACAAACTGCATTTGAATCATGACTTAGTCTAACCAAAATTATCAATAATTACCTCCATGACTTTATCCTGCTTATAAATTGCGTGAATAAGTCTGCTAGCTATATCTTGTTTTGTTGAAAAGATCTTCAATAAGTCTGGTCATTTCACTATGCAAGTAGCAGATCGCTGTATGCAAGGCAGACATGAACACAAAAAAATCAATTATTCAACTTTGATATTTCTCCATTTTCAATGACGATGCATACGCAAATGGTCAGTTCTTTTTCAATATTGTTTTGAGATCATTTTAATGTAGTCTCAGAAATATTGATAAATATAATGGGTCTTTTGTGTTTCATCTTCAATACTATATTAAATCAAGTGTATTATCATTTATTCGCATGCCGATGGCTGTCCTTAAGAAAACTTTGTCTTCCAAGTCCATTTACCATCCATCTTTATGATAATATTTAACCATAAAAAGAATAATATTTCAAAGCAATTGATTTTGTTAATGGAAAGAAATACTTTTTCATATCCGAGCCTAAAGGCCGATGAATACAAGAACTACTACAATGGCTGCACAATGTATTTTATTTGTCAAAAAAAGACAGTTGAAATGCTCAGGTTCTATCACATACATATTCACACATCTATTAGGTATGGTAGACCTTACTTGTGTGGAAGATTGCGGAATCCTTTAAGACATCTTTATCATTTTCGTAATTTGTCAACATCTTTGAAATAGAAGTTTATAAAAGAAGATTAACACATAAATTACTTCAGCCAACAATGTAACAAATGAGACAAGAATAATTATTCTACACACCACTTTTGGCTTTGTCCAATCATTTTCCATTAGTTCACATATAAATGAAATATATTGAATAAGCAGAAGTAAATACTTAACATTGTAAGATGACGACAATATTTCTCAAAGAAAATAAAGAGAGTTTAAATGTAATGATTGTTACATTTTCAGAACAGAGGAAAAGAGAACGCGTGTTTGACAAGCATTTCTACTTTCCTTATGATTAACATACAATTATTTGCTCATAAAAACACGATTCCTTTCAGTGCTTATTACCAGTTTTTCTTGCTGATAAATAAAAGTATATTTATTACTTTGTGGTATATTATCTACAATAACTAAGTGTCTAATTTTACATGGCATATTAATGAACATAGTTTATGACAGGCAAATGTAAATTGTGAAATAGTAAATCAGATTTGAACAGAAACTAACCATTACTTATTTGATTCTTACAACTGTTGCCAAAATACAACATAAATAACCTGAATATTTGCGAAAACCAATTTATTAACGGCTGGACGTAATAGTATTTACATTTGTATGTTTGTATGCATCTATGTTTGAACTGAACGCGGTTACTCTTAAAAGCTTTAATAATATAACCGACATTCATTCCTTCCTACCATAGGTGTTCGGCGCGTTGATTGGTCACTACCCCCGCACCCCCCCCCCTCACCCCCACACCCACTCTACAGCCCTCATACCTCTCAAAACCATGTAAAATACAGTATTTTTCATTTGAAATATGTTTTAATATTTGGTTTATGCTTTTAATTCAATAAACTTCATTTCCTACCAAAAATAAAAAATTGATACATATATATTTAGTAAAGGTATGCAACTCGCCGCTCAATTTTCAGCACTCATCTTAATATGAACTCCATAACTTCAACATTTTTTCACCAATTTTCAATATCTTAGTACCAAATAGTAGGGAATTGATTACTCTTAAAGGAAATAAAGCTGTCATTACGATCATTTCAAGTTATCAGAAGATGTGTAATCTAAAACTCACCGCAAGTGTAACTCGACAGTGATCTGACCGCTGGGTTTTCTTCAAAGTTACCCGACTAAACGGCAGTTTATTCGAAATGAATGAATATTTCATAGTATTGCGCATATAAATATGATCAAATAATATTATTATTTGTAATAACAGTTCAATCAAAACATCTTATGTTTCTAGCTGATCACAAATTAATGGAAATGTAGTTCATGTATATGCGCACTCGCATATGGTGACCATGAAGTAAATCGTGAAGTACCGGTATGTGCTCAAATTGAAACTACTGGGGGGAGAGATGAAGGAGAGAACTGAAAATGCAGGAGCAATCAATGAGCAACAAAAGCGATTTAGAGGGAAAAAAAGATTACTTAAAAGACAGATAAGAATGAAATTCAGCATACTCAACGTAGAGACATAACGGCTCCCAAAAAAAATTGTCGAGCATTAAGTTAGGAAGAGCGTTTCGAATCAATGGCTCCTATGATCCGTCGCATTTCATGAACATTAAATAGTACCATGTTAACTGAGACAAAAAATGCCAGTAATTCTAGCGACAAACAAACGGATATAAAATGTTACAAAACACCAGTTTCATCTCGGAGTTGAAACAGAGGAAGACACTTTTTATGAAGTAGAACCTCGAACAGGAGGCAGGAAACAACATGGGTATTTGATGATGCGATATGATAATGGTAAAGATTTTCAGATAGATACCAAGGAAAACGTTGGTAACTCAATGCTCGATATGGAACTGTGGTGGACTAGAAAAATGACTGACCATTTTTTTTACAGACTTTATTATTCTCATTGATTTATTGACAAAGCAATCAAATGACAAAGAGTTATACTTTTGTTATAATTTATGTTGTATGATCAGGCATCGCAGTTCTTCTGATATAGCGGCAATGGTAGGATTCTACGTCATCGCGCATCTGCAAAATGCACCAATCAGAGCTGTCTAATATAAATGTCACGTTAACACTAAGGTAAAATATATTTTTATTCAAAGAACTCGCTATAATATCGGTAAATAATGTAGGGCACCAATCATTGGTTTAATTGATAACTAAATTATGCTCGATATGGAACTGTAATGGACTAGAAAAATGACTGACCATACCTTTACAAACTTTATCATTCTCACTGATTTATGAACACAATTTCGAATGACATAGAGTTACACTTTCTGTGATAATTTATATTTTATTCAACGGTTATTAAACGGTTACAATAGTGGAAGTAACAAAAAAGATGGTTTATTCTGGAAAATAATCTTATTTAGGAAATATTGTTTCTAGAAATCCTAGCATAACTTTAAAAACTCCTAATTTAAGGTTAAGTACATACATGTTACGGCTCAAGTGAGAGTTTTTCCTAATTTAAGATTTAAGATTTTATCACATTTGAAATATGAATGAAACTGAGGGAGAATAACTGTGTTTTAAAGTGTCTTGCGTAAGAAAATTTAAGAAAAATACATGTTATTATAAAAATAGATAAAGTGACTTTCAGTTTCAGTCTTTGATAACATCACTTGATAACAGCTTCAGCATTTTAAAATCTTACATACTTTTATGATGACACTTATTTTGTCAGTCATATAGAAAATTTAATCAACATAAGGACAGCAGCTTTTCATTCAGAAAGATGCCACAGACAAATCATGACTGAAATAACGCATGTGACTAAAACAGTTGTGACCGTAAAGTAAATCTTGTCAAAGACTTTCACTGCATCAGACCACAATATTGATTCTTTTTCAACTATTCCTTCATCATAAATATCAGAATTTTCAAGACCTTTATCCGTTGAGATTGCATCAGAATCGTCATCGGTTGTGTTTATTTTTGGATGGACTTTCGTAGAAGTGGTCGAACCTATTTTGTGGACCAACTTCACCACTTTCTGCAAAGAAATTGGTACCGGTGTCGTTTGATTTGCCCAAGTTGCCATCCGCACCATAAACACACTCCAAAGTACACTTGCGGTATTGAGGACGTTTAAAGAAAGCATGATGTAAGAGGAAAACGCTATATTCTTTGCGACATGAGGCATTTCATTTACCATTGCAGACGTTATGAATACAAATGAAAGATATAAAGTAATCGAAAATGAGAGACGCTCGCCTGAATTGACAGGAACAAAATTAGCCGCAAGGTTTAGAACTGTTAACAGAAGAATGGGTAGAAAAACATTTATGATTTCAAATATAGGTCTTCGTTTTAGTGTTATCGTAAACTGAAGCCTGCCTAAAGTGTATGCAACGTTCTCGCCTGAATTGACAGGAACAAAATAAGCCGCAAGGTTTAGAACTGTTAACAGAAGAATCGGCAGAAAAACATTTATGATCTCAAATATAGGTCTTCGTTTTAGTGTTATCGTAAACTGAAGCCTGGCTATGTTGTACGCAATATTCTCGGCTGAAAATGTGTCTTTTTTAAAATCAGTCTTTGTGTGACGCCATGCATCATTTTGTTGAAGTAACCCGAGAGCAAAATCAGATGTAAGAGAATTCAACTCCATTTCTGTGGCATCATTCAACGCGGAAAAGAAATAAAAAGTGCATTTATGCGAGTCAAATGGATACAAACTAGTGTTTATTTCACAGTTAGTTACGTAGTATCCTGTAGTGACGAGGAGCACGTATCCATTAGGTAAAACGAAAACTGGGGCAAAACCAGGATTTATTATTTGGCCTGACTTCTCTTTCATTGCTCCGTTTGACTGTGATAAAGGTGGTATCCAAAGTTTTTCGTAAGGTACGGGTAACTTTGTGATACCTCCATAGTCAAAGGGATTCCACATCAAAAACTCGTCGATCCATGATATCTGAATATACATTATAGTAAGAAGTTCACTCGTTGTTAAGTCCAGACTTTCAATAGTCATAATTCCAGGAGTAATGTTGACCTGTGTATAAAAAAGACTTTATTTAGATTAAAATAATCCACAAAATAATTCATAAAAATATATTATAAACTTTATTTAGCAATAAGTTTATTTGAAATTTGAGTAAAGTTTGCCTTACTGTTAAATATTTATCCTCAATATTCACAATTCACGTATTGTACTTGGTCGGCTTTGAGCTTTGAACCGACAGTCCTTCAAAGTTTACAATATTTGAATATCAAAATACAAAAAAGAGAAAAATTAAAAAAAGAAGAAAACAACAACACAATATAATGCCTGGTAAGATTGCACAGTTGACCAGCCTGGAATGACTATGGTGGCAAAGACCAATCAATTCAAGCAGTTTAAAGATCTTGTATGTTGTAATTAATGTTTTACCATGTTATTTTTTTTAATGCGTTTATTTAAGGTCGCCGCCGGAAAGCACATATGGGCGACCGTACACTCAAGTCGGGCCATCCTAGAGCGTCCCGCCGAGATTTTTTCGTCGATTTTTTTTCAGCTTTATTGGTGGAGGAAGACCCCAGGTGCCCCTCCGGGCATTATTTCGGGCACGAGCGGGCACCTGGGTAGAACCACCGACCTTCCTTAAGCCAGCTTGATGGCTTCCTCACATGAAAGATTTCGACCCGGGTGAGGATCGAACCTGCAGCGGTGAGGGACCTGTGATCTCAAGTCAGCGACCTTAATCACTCGGCCACACTTAAATGAAATTTAGTATATGTATATAATTATGCTTCTTAAACAATTTTCAAATATCGAAGAATAAGTAAAATATGTACTTCAAATAATAATTATGTGTCCACATGATATGTAATCATTAAGATATATGCATTCATTTCTTTTTGAAAAATTTGCCTCAGACTTTATAGAAAATAAATTTTTGTAATTACCTCTCTTTATTAACATGAAATGTAAATTCGGAAATATCTTGACAAATAATGCTTTTTGGAACCTACAATTTTGATAAATCTTCATTTGAGCATTATATTTATGATATCAAACCATACAAAATTGAGTTGCCGGATCTTTAAGTTAAAGCAAAAACATACGGCATGTGAATCATATCATGCGAAATCACGAACGTCAACCATTACCTCCATCACTTTATCCTGGTTGTAAATTGGGCGGATAAGTCTGCTGTATCTTGTGTCGTTGAAAAGATCCTCGATTAGTCTAGTCATGTCACTATGCAAGTAACAGGTCGCTGGATGCAAGGCAGACATAGTCATCAACAGTAGAATTATTCCACATTTCTCCATTATTTGAATCATTCACTGTTCATACGCAAATAGTGAGATCCTTTTATATATTGCGTCGAGGTGATACTAGTAATTTATGGTTTAACAGTGACTGTCATTCTAATCTTGTTTGATTCATCAATATTAATAAATCTAATGGGTCTTTTGTTTTTCATTTAATACTAGTCAATGCTGTATAGAATCAAATGTTTGATTATCAATTCGCAATACCGTTGGCTGTTGCTAAGTAAACATTTGCTTTGTAATTCTAATCACGATCATTCTTTACTTCTTTATACCACCACCACCACCATCATCATCATTCAGACCTATATGGGCGACGGTTTTCCTTATATTCATTTTTTTTATCTTAGATGAATAAAACACGCTGTCTTAAACATAGCATAATAAAAAAACTATACAACAATAGCCGATGAATACTTATTATAAACAACGGCGTCAATAAATGACCAATTAAAAGCTCATATTTTATGAATATACCATCATCTTAATTTTAACATTGTCTAATTTTGGCATTATGGTTCTCTGGACACCTGCTACTGTTGTGGCTTTGTTTATAAAAAACAACAACAAGATAACACATGTTTAAAGTTGAAAAAGGGTGCCATAGTCACAAAATACGCCCGTTTACGAAAGCTTTAGATGGAGATGGGGGCATTATGGATAAGTGTTATCTAGCAAGCAAGTTTTTATTCTTGGCACTGTGTTGTTAAATGAACCTTAAAACAAATCAGTAGGGAAGATATGCACAGGATGTGTGACCTTGACCTTGGTCGCAGGGACCTGAATTTTATGCACGGCACTCAGCCTCACAATGATGAACATTTGTGCCAAATTATATTGAAATCCCTTTATGCATGTAGAAGTTTTGCTCCAGACAAGCGTTTTTCTATGAGCTCTAACTGTGACCTTCACCTTTGACCTAGAGACTTGGTTCATGTGCAGGGCACTACGTCTCATGGTGGTGAACAATTCTATAAAGTAACATTAAAATTCCTCCATGCATGTAGAAAATATGCTCCGGACAAGATCTGGATATTTAATCATCTCCAGTGACCTTGACCTTGCAAATATTAACCTAAATTAAATGTGTCACACCTGTAGTCATGATAGTTACCATTTGTGCTACAATCCATCAATAAATAATGACTAAATGGTCCCTATACACATCTTCAAATTTTTATCTGAACTTTGACCTCTATGTGTAACTTTGACTTTGGTCGCAGGGATCTGAATTTTGCGTGCGACACTCAGCCTCACAATGGTGAACATTTGTGCCATGTTATATTTAAATCCCCCCTATGAATGTAGAAGTTTTGCTCCGGACAAGCGTTTTTCAATGAGCTCTAAGTGTGACCTTGACCTTTGACATGGAGACCTGGATTATGCATGGAGCAATACATATCATGGTGGTGAACATTTCCATAAAGTATTATAAAAATTCTTCCATACATGTAGGAGATATGCTCCAGACAAAATCTGGATATTTCACCATCTTTAGTGACCTTGACCTTGCATATATTGACCTAAAGTACATGTGTCACAGCCGTAGTCATGATAATGACCATTTGTGTTACAATCCCTCAATAAATGATGACTAAATGGTCCATATACACATCTTCATATTTTTATCTGAACTTTGACCTCTATGTGTGACCTTGACCTTGGCCGCAAGGACCTGAATCTTGCGCGCGACACTCCGCCTCACAATGGTGAACATTTGTGCCAAGTAATATTGAAATCCCTCTATACATGTGGAAGTTTTGCTCCGGACAAGCATTTTTCAATGAGCTCTAAGTGTGACCTAGAGACCTGGTTCATGTGCGCGACACTGCTCCTCATAGTGGTGAACATTTCTATGAAGTTTCATTAAAATCCCTCCATACATGTAGGAGATATGCTCCGGACAAAATTGGACGCCGCCCGCCCGACCGCCCGCCCGCCCGCCAGGGGCGTTCCCATAATACGTCCCGTTTTTCAAACGGGCGTATAAAATGGGCATTTATTACCAAAAATGCCAGAAAATATGTTTTATATCAGTTGCAAATCTAATGAATACCAGTTAATTTTTTAGACTAATATTAGATTTTTTTTTAAATCTGGGTAAAAAATACATTTTTATTTTATGCTTTTCAATGGATTACTGATTTATCCGTGAAAATTATATTTGGTAATTTCACAGTGAAAATTATCAAAATATAATTTCACTCTTTTCAATGACGAAACTACTTTTTTTAAGATTTTCCCCATGTGGTACCTCAATTTTATTTTTGCTGACAATTCTGACAATGTCAGGCTGTTTAAAGAAAAAGCAAAACTGAAATTGATAATTAACTTAAATGTCAAAAGTAATAAAAAGAAGAAAACTTACTTCTATTCATTCAAATTCATGAAATTCCAATCACCAAATTTCGTTTTTTTGTTTCATTTTGACAGTCTCAAAAATACATTCCTTCCCCATGCAAAACTGCTCTTGATGACATTTGGGCATATTAAAGTATCCTACGAGCAATAGCTGCCGTATGCTTTATGAAAAATTGAAAGCATTGACAGCCATAACTCGAAGAATAAGTTAAATCAACCCAGCGTTCTTGAGCAGGTTTCCAAGTTTTCCATTTTCCTAGCTCCTTTTCTGAATGTTTTCACATCTGTCAACACTTATTTTTTGTCTGTTACAATCCTCAAATAAGTTTTCTTTCTTTTAAAAATGTGTATGACTAACAAATCCAAATTATATCCTTCTGAATCTTACACAATTATTTTCCTCCCATGAAATACACAACTTTAAAAAATGGCTGCCGCTTACAATTTACAAAGCCAGGTCTAATATAAATTCGCACTAAGTAACAGAAATATGGATGGATGGTTGGACTTTTTCTCCTACAAGAATTGTTTGTTTTTATTATCAAAACAAGCGATCATTCATATTTTGTTAATAAAATTAATAAATATCACCGCCATTTAATGTTGATTGGCGGACTTATTTTTCAGCTCAAGACTTCTTTTTTTTAATGAGAAATTCCGAATAAATGGGGCTCTCAATGGGGGAAACAGTTTTAATATTAACGTTAAAATTATGGAAATTTCGTTTTAACTTGTTTTTAAGCATAAAATAAAAAGAACATTTGTCTGTTTGTTGTGCAAGATGTAATTTTATTTCATCTCGTGAACTTTAAAAACAGTATTCTCACTCGTGGCTTCGCCACTCGTGAGAATACTGTTTTTAAAGCCCACTCGATGAAATAAAATTTCATCTTACACACAAACAAACAAATATCCTCTATATCTTCGATATAGAAGTTTTAAATTTTTTTCCAACATGTTTTGGTTCAGCCAACAATTTGCGATAAAGGAATAATGTATTTAAATATTTCCTTGAGTGCCCTGTAAACTTTGTGTAAATTCTTTTTGTCTTGCAAGTTCAGATTTAAGTAAAAACAAATATTGAAATATGCCATACTCTTCATAGCGAAAAGTTGCCATAAATGATAAGAGAAAATAGTTAAAATGTTACGAATTTTCCATTTGCAAAACAAAGAACGTTGTGTTTGACAAGCATTATTCGTCCATAGAACTGTATCATAATCAATCTAACTTGCTAATCTAACTTGCTTACATACGGACGCAGTTTTAATCCCCAGCCCTGTATCCAGGTATGGTCTGAATAACGGGGTCAAAATACATGCAAAATTGTTAATTGGTCGAGAAAAAATGGTCGTTATTACGTAATAATAGGGTGGTCTTAATTTCGGATAGAAAGACTATTCAATTAGGAAGAAAAGAATCCGCTCTTTGTAAAATTGGTCGTAATAGCAGATCGGTCGTAAAAACGGGATGGTCGTGTGGCGGGGATCTACTGTAATTGAATTGATGTATTTTTATGAGAACATTGATCACATTTAAACAGCATAACCGTAACAATTGAGTAAAGGCCTCAACAGACGGTAGGATTTAGTTGTACAACACTAATTAGAGATAATATGTACAATTTTAAAAGCAATAAAACACTTGCATCCAGACTGTAATTCTGCATTGTAGGAATCATCTGAGGTTTCCCTAAAATAAAGTTCTCTCCCAATTGATCCTTTACATACTTTACTCACTAAATAAAATATTTCTCCATGAGTAATGATTGAAGCACCTTCATTTCTTAAAATTATTTTTAATTCTATTTTTTTTAATGTGCAGCCTGACCGAGAATCGAACCTGGGACCCTCGGAATACCGTACTGCGGCTCTACTGACTGAGCTATCCGGCCGCCTACAAACTACATCCCTGATTGAGTTCAATACGGGGACATAATCTTTTTCGGAATAATTTGGGATTCGAACATACCACAACTTTGGGTCTCCTGAAGAGTTTTTCAACATCATTTTTACCCCATTTTAATACTATGTTTACCTTATAGCCCTTATTGTTCTGGAATTTCATTCATTACACCCATTATCAGGAGATTATTTGGTAACCTGTTACTTGTCATTGTGGGAGGTCTGTAGAAGAACATGTCCTATCCCTTACATCTAGACTTAAGGTTTACGAATTCAAGAAATAGTAGCCTTCACACATTAAGATTTGCTGGTAAATCTTAGTTTTAATTGGTGTTGTACTTCAAAATCCTACCGTCTGTTGAGGCCGTAGTAAAAACAGCTTTTTATGACAAAACTTATCTTTAAATAAGTAAATTTCGAGGAACATATTTCTTTTAAATATTTGATGAAATAATCTTTATTACTGAAACATACGCATTTCCTGAATTTAGTTTTCAAATACCCTTTATAATGTTTTCAAATACTTTTTATAATTCAAAAATGAAAATTATTCATCGTGCACATGAACTGTCAAATGCAGGACTTTGTTAAAAAATATAAATTTCCCATAGGAATATTATTATTCAAATTCATTTATTTTCTTATTTTCCTCTATCTTATTCCAGAAACATGAATATACTTTAAAATAAACTGAAAAAAACTATGTGGTAGCAAAAGGGAAGTTTGTTGTTG